ATAACTGGTAAGATCAAATCTGCCATAAGAGATAGAATTTGACAGAAATAGAAAACAAGGTGTTTCATCAGCCCACCAAAACGGAAGCACTGTTTCAAAAAAAAAAAAAACAACAAACAAACAAACAAACAACAACAAAAAATACCCCAAAGCAACCAATCATCTGGATAATAGAAGTTTTGAAAAAAACATCTTTTTCTTAAATATCTTTCCTTCAAATTGTAAGATTTTTTTGAAAAAGATCAATGTGTAAGCAGCCTCTAAAGGCTAAATTCTACTGACAGTCATTTTATATCATCTCTGAAACTAATTTTTTTAAACCTGACTCTTCTGAAGATTTAAAAATGTTATAATAGTTTAATTAGTCCAAGACATTTAAAAGTGAACTATATCTTAGTTACAGCTTATTTACATGTATTCCAAGATATGTGGCCGAATATACTTTTCCTCCATACTTCATGGATGTATTTCTAAAAACAAGACTTTATTCAGCTGAACACTGTTGTTACTGAATCAGAGCTACTGTGAATGAAGAAAAGAATTTTTTTCCTAAATTTTGAAACAATGAAAAAAAACATTATAAAAGCCATGTCAAGAGTAATTGCCAAAGTAAAAGATGAAGGTAGTGTTGGAGTAGAGGGACTAGTTTTACCTCTAAAGTATTGGCAAAAAATGCATAAAGAAACACACGTTTTTCATACATCTTTGCAAATGGGGAAAAAAGTAAAAGAGATGCCTGAAGCTGGAATATTCTACAAAAAAGAATAGTATTGTTAAAAAAAGCAAAGCCCAGTCCAGCTGGGTAACATTGAAAACTTGCACAGAGAGGAGGTATTTTTTCAAAATATTGGAAGAATAAAGACAGAATTCAAGAAAGATAATCCAAATGGATTTATTCAGAAAGTGTTAGGAGAGTTGCTTCATCAACAGAATGCAGAGGAAATCATAATTGACAGACTATGTACCTTCCCTATAGTTCTCGCAGCAGGCCAGTATCTGTTATAGTGAGGTGCTCTTACGACTGCCAAATGCAGGTCAATTTGAGAAAGAGGGAACTGAGTATAAGGCATTTCCAAGGTCATATAATATATAGAGCATTCTCTATCTTGATCTCCAAAATTGGCAAGGCATCAGATGCAATGAAAGCAGGCTTCAAAGAAGCAGGCTGATGAACACCATGAATTTTACTTGTAGATCCTGTTTGTACACTATGAAATAGTAGCTTGGAATGGTAGTAAGAAAAAGGATGAATTGCCTGAAATTTCTGATACTGATTTTTAAAAATAAAAGTAGAGCAAGAAAAGAAGATAAAATTATGTGGGACAAAATAAGTGGGATAGGCATAGGGTGAGAGTGAGAGGCAGGTAGAGGTGGAACTAGCTAAAAGAACTGCTTATGACTGCTGTATATCTGGAGGACTGAATGTTCTTAATACACAAACTCACTCTCATTTCTCCCAGTTCTCTTCATGCAGTGAGTTGGAAGGGCTTCCTCGTAATATTTAACATTTCTCTACATGTTCGGAAACATGAACACTTAACTATAATTTTAAAAGTATGTATATTTTAACTCTTCATTCTGCCATCTACATAAGATGTCCAGTGGATTGAGTTATTCCTATATTTTATTGTCAGATGTGTTCATATTTCAGGTAAATACATTTACTCTGAGTGTTTTTTAGAATTCCAAACTTTAAAGGAAAGGTAAAGACAAACAGTAGGGGAAGGTGCAGTTCGTTTGTTTAGAAAACAGTTATATGACTACCCTATTAAATTAACAAAGAGCTGGTAAACAAGGCATTTTACGAGGCCTCATCACTGACGGTTTTCCCTATTGTATGTACATGTAAAACTTTGCAAAAAGCTGTTGAGTACACTAATACAAAAATAAATCCCACACATCAAGAATTGTTTATATCCTATGTTTATAATTTCTCTATTCACTCCGAATAAAAGAAAAAGAAAACAAAACAAATCCCACAGCATTTCTTCCTTTGGATAGCTAGCCAAAATAATGATTTACTGAGGAGTAAGATAAGGATACCTGGAGGTTATTCACTAAAGATATAGCCAAACTAAATACTTAATCTGAAATCTACAGTCAGAAGTCAAAAAGGAGGGACATATGCAGGAAAATCCTTAGAGTAAATCCAGCTAGACAGCGAGAGTCTCGGATCATGTAGTCTGTATCTTCAGCAACTACTTTACTTCCAGATAAAAGGGAGAAAGAGTAAAAGAGAAGACAACAATATGTTTTCATAAATAGGAATTCTCTGGTGAATGGTGGTGCTCTTTAATTTTTATTCTGGATTAGAACCTGCAAATGAGTTTGGTAGTAAAATGCCAGGTATCAGAGCATTATCCAGTCACACTATTATTCTAATATAGATCTACAATGGGCTTTACTGTAAAAATGTAAGGAGCTGGAGAATTTATTCACTGTCATTTTAAGGATCAAAATTTTAACTAACTGTTCAACTTTACAAATATGTGCCTTAACACTGTACTGTCTCAGCTCACAAACCATATTGCAGCCTCTATAAATACAACCTCTTGGGGGGTGATGGTAAAACTTGACATCTAATGACAGAGTCCTCAGAATGTCTGTGACTTGGGTAAAGACACAGACTTTTCTGGAATTTCTGGCTTAGCACATAGAGATGCACATACAGATTTTTTAGCATATAAAAATAATGTAATGAGGTGACTGGTTTAATATCCCTATTTTTACCACCTTGGGATTAATATTGAAATGTCTGAAACTTGCCTTCCTGGAAGTACGAAAATGGGCAGTTGCTTGTAGCAACCTCTGAAACTTTTTTGTCTGGATCCCTGACAGAGGTTTTAATGAGCTTCTTAAAAAGAGAGTGCAAGAAGAAATAAGCAGAACTTAAAAGCAAAATGATTTGAATGCAGTTTAGATATTTTATTTTACTTTTTTTTAAAAAAGATCAATGGGTAGTTTGTGTCTGAACAGCTGAAAACTACTTAAAAACTTTTTTTTTTTTAACTGAAATATCTTTAATTGAATTTTCATAATGAAGTGATGTAGTCTTCCCCCTGAAATTGTCCTGAATAAAAGTCATTATGTTATTCACTGGGACGGATTATGGATTCTCTGGTAAGAAAAAAACACCCAAACAATAAAACAAATTAAAGGTAAATGTAAAGATGAGAATAAGAAATTCTGATGCTAAGAAATTTTTTAAGAGCTGAGCAGAATGACCTCTGAAACTTTTGCTGCACTTGTTCACATTCTGACTTCTTTCTGAATAGCCAAACAAGGTAGTGCAAATTTTATAGAATGCTCTAAATTCATCCATCATTTTCAAGATGACATATAGTTGCCATAAATAGTTGTGAGTACATAGGATATGTGAAAATTGTCTGTGAGTGATACATAAGTAGGAACTGTAAAGAGAAAACAGTAAGTCATAGAATTCATCTTGTTCTCTACCACTGCACTTTTTTCTGTTTGAATGCCTACTTGTGATACAAACCTACCACTTTAAAGCATTCTATCAAAACCAGTCTTCATAGTCTTTATACTGTTAAAGATCCTCATTGTTTGGTTAAGTAGGAACTGTAAAGAGAAAACAGTAAGTCATAGAATTCATCTTGTTCTCTACCACTGCACTTTTTTTCTGTTTGAATGCCTACTTGTGATACAAACCTACCACTTTAAAGCATTCTGTCAAAATCAGTCTTCATAATCTTTATACTGTTAAAGATTCTCATTGTTTGGTGGTTGTTTTTTTCTTCTTTTGAACAAAACACTAGGTATGGTGTTTGAGTGAGCAAGTCACATAAAATTGCATGATGCAACCACCAATGATAAAAATTCTGTCCAAAACATCTTGGAATTGTTTTGGAAACTGAAAGCTTGTGAGTAAAGGAAAAAATAACCAACAAAATTTTAAAGTAATTTGGTTTTATTACTCTGAAATGGTTCCTCAGTAGTCTGAAACTGTCTCAGTCTAACAGAATTTAATAAAATAAACTGTCAGGGACAGATATGGTCCAGTTCATGGTAATATGTGACACAATCATTCTCTATTAGCAATACTTAATAAAGGCTTCTCAGAAAAGGCAAAACCGTTAGTGCAGTGTAATTAATTGCAAAGTATTTGTCAAAATAGAACAGATTGTTTTCTGACCTGTGATTCAGCAGAACCACTTAAGATACAGGAAACTTCCACTTTTGTCTCTTCCTACAGAGCAATATATTATGACATATTAAATGCTAGGATAAATCTCACTAATTCTGTAACTGGTTCTGTTAACTTTGGAAAACACTCACTGCTGTACAGTTGGCAAAAATGTGAATTCACATTGTATATTTTTATTCCAAAAAGAACTGCATCAGTGTAGGTGGCATTTTATATGCTCTGGGTTTGCTGGAATTTTAACTACTAACACAGCTTGATAACACCTCTGTCTCTGACATTTAGGTAGTCAAACCTTACTGCTATATTTTGCTGTACTCTAATACAAAATACCTATACAATTCTTGATTACTGCCAGTGTTCACTGTAACAAAAACCAGTACCTGGCTATAAGATTTGCACTAGGGTAGCCTTCCAAACCCTAAACTTTTCTAGTTTGTTTTTGTTTGTTTTTTTGTTTAAAGTGATTTGCAAGCATGTACTGAAAGACAAGCAAATAAAGAAGCCCAATATATGACAAGATAAAAAAGTACATTTTGCTGTTTTGAGCTAGAAGTAAGTATGTGTCTAATGTGCAGATAATCAATCTATATGGGGATAGGTATCTCATTAAAAGGAAGAAAAGGTAACTTTAGTTTATCAGCAAAGTGTGTCAAATGGGCATCTTTTGGAAGGGAAAAATAGGCAATGCAAATGTAAATAAGAGAATTGTGTTGAAATGGAATGTGATTTTTACATAGAAATAACTATTTTTTTAGATATTTGATCTAATAACATGATTAAAATACGAGTGTTTAAAATCTATAACATCCCCCAACATTTAAAAATTCTTTAGATGATGAGGACCACTCTGATTGCTGTCCTCAACCACATGAATGACAGAGACCAAAGAGTCGCTTAAAAGAAAATTCCCTGCATTAAGCCTGAAACTTCTATGTGAGCTGCTGTGAATCCAGTCATGGATGTTTGATGAAGGACTTCCATGTAGTGGGAATTCTTCAACATACTGTATCTCTCGATAGACTTGTCCAGTAAATAATCATCTTCACTACAACAAATTATGCAGTATATCTATACTCTCTACTTTATAACCGGTATGTATAAATCTGAGATAACACCTATTTGCAGGATTTCTTTTATGATATCACACACACACACACAGTATGCTGGAGATTGGAAGGGACCTCAAAAGATCATCTAGTCCAATCCCCCTGCCAGAGCAGGAACACCTAGATAACGTTACACAGGAATGTGTCCAGGCGGGCTTTGAATGTCTCCAGGGAAGGAGACTCCACAACCTCCCTGGGCAGCCTGTTCCAGTGTTCCGCTCAGCTTTAATCAAAGTTATGTTTTAAGTACTTTCATGAGCTTCTCATGTATAAGCTTCCTGGAACTGTGATTATTATTATAATAATTTTAGGTGCTCCTTCTTAAGCCGAATTTAATATTCCAATAGTAGCCTCTGTATTATTACATACAGACTTCCTAGTACCTTCTAAAACTCTTGTAACTTAGTTTGGAAATCAATCTGCTTTCATTAACCATTAGGTTTAGTGTGAGGTGTCCCTGCCCATGGCAGGGGGGTTGGAACTTGATGATCTTAAGGTCCTTCCCAACCCTAACTATTTTATGATTATAGTTGGTACAACATGTACTGCTTCATTATCTGATAATCCTAGGAGCTTCTGAAAGTCAACTCCCATTTGTGGGAACAGACAGATCAGCAGTGCCAGATTAAATAAGATGCTAGCAGGTCAGCATATTATTTCAGTGTTCATAAAGAAGTCTCCTGGGTAATCTGTGACTAAACAAAACTGCATGAGTGTAACTCAGACAGAAATAAGACATTCACTGCAGTCCTAGTTTCTTCTTCCATAGGTAATACAGAGAGAACTAATCAACAAAGTCTATTGTTGCACTAAAGTCTTGTTAGTGACAAAAATGGAACACACCTTTTACCTGGAAACCAGAGTATCTTGTTAAACCAGTTAAAATCTTCACAACTCCCCAAAAAATAAAGCAAGATCCTAACCTGTCCTGCTTCTAATAGGCAGTAAGCTTCAGAACTAATTGGTTCACACTTCTGAATTTCTCTAACAGTACAGAAGACATGATCGATTTGAATTATCAGTTTGGCAGCATTTTTTCCCTTGACGCAGAGAGGGATTTCCTAACTTTAAGTAAGTAACCTTGAAATGCCATACAGAAAACAGAATTCCTGGAGAGATTGTGATTTTTCAGAGCATATCTTGATTGCTCAAAATAAAATCACTGTGTCACTGAGGTTATAGGAAAAGTTTGCTATTAAGACCCAGTACTGCTGAATGCAGTACTACAGGGAGGTTTCGTAAGAGTGAAGCAGAGGTGGAGAACCGCCTCCCTCGACCTGCTGGTCATGCTTCTTTGGAGGCATCTGAGGGTATGACTGGCTTTCTGGTCTGCAAGTGCACACTAATGAGTCACTCACTTTTTCTTTCAGTGGTACTCTCAAGCCCTTCTTGACAGGGCTGCTCTAATTTACTTCATCTCCCAGTCTGTTGATTCTGAGGATTGCCCCAACCCAGTTTTGAGGCCCTGCACTTGGTCTTACTGAACTTTATGTGGTTCACCTGGGCACACATTTGAAGAGCCTGTTAAGGTCCTTCTAGTGATTCAACTTGTCCTGGGCTCAGAAGTAACCGTAATTTTTCTCCTTCTCAGTAGCTGCTGCAGTGATGTAGTTTTGACTTTCAGCCTGGGAACAACACTGATAACACTGATGTTTTTCATTGTTGCTCAGTAATGTTTACTCTGACTAAGGACTTTCTGAATCTCATGCTCTGCCAGGGAGGAGGGGAAGTCAAGAGGAACCAGAGGCAGGACACCTGACCCAAACTAGCCAAAGGAGTATTCCATACCACAGCACATCTCATGCCCACTATATAAACTGGGGGCAGTTACCCATAAGGGTTAGATCACTGCTCGGATTGGGCTGGGTATCAGTCGGCGGGTTGTGAGCTGTTGTATTCTCTTCCCTTGTTATTTCCCTTATTATTATTATTGGTGGCAGCAGTAGTGGTTTGTGCTATACCTTAGTTACCGTACTGCTCTTATCTCAACCCATGGGAGTTATTCTTTTGATTCTCTTCCCCCTCCCTCTGAGAGTGGGGGGAGGAAGGAGGGGGAGTGAGCGTGCAGCTGCATGGTTCTGGGCTGCCGGTTGGGCTTAAACCATGACACAGCTGCACCCCTAGGTTTTGCCATCCACAAAGTTGCTGAGGTTGCGCTCAATAACACTGTCGTTAAGATACTAAATGTTATTGGTCCCAGTATGGCCCCTTGAGGGATAGATAAAACTTGCTACTGGTTTCTACCTGGATATTAAGCCACTGATAAACATTTTGGATGTGACCATCCATCCAGTTCATTATTTACCTGATGCTCCATTTGTATCAGTCCTATTTAGCAGGCAAGAATGTTGTGGGGACTGATTCAAATGCTTTACAGATGTCTGGGTTGAGCTTTTCTGTTGTTCACTGATATAATCACTCCCAGTGTAGAAGGCGACCCGATTTGTCCTGGTGAAGCCAAGATTTATTTTGCATATTATATTAGACTGATTGCTTTGGTTAAAGAAAGCATTTTTTAATCTACATTTCCATTATTAATTACAGCAGAGTAACAACTTACTATACTTTATGAATTTCTTTTTTCATGTATGCCATTTAGTGAATAGACACTTCAGAAAATCAGGATGAATAAAATTGTCAGTAATAATTTAGACTTGGCTAAGGCTAAGGCCATGTAGAATCATGATGTAGGAATACCATGGGAGTAGAAGATCTCTCCAGTGAAACTGTTAGAGCTATAGGCAGAACAACTATAGTATTTGTATTCAAGGGATTTTAGTTTGGACTATGTCCGGTCTCGTCCTGTAGAGTAGGACTGCATTAAGTAGACACTTGGAGCTCAGTTTCCTAAAGGAATTATCACAATCACAATTCTCTAAGGCTGTTCAATGGTGTGAAAAAGAGTATGGATTGGGGATAATCATGTTCTTTTAATAGGCAAATTCAGCATCTAAACTACAGTTCAAACACAGGTGCACATGGTCAATATGCTTGTTTGAACTTCCCTCACTTTCATCCATAAAGTATATCGAAAAAGGGGCTGATTTTATTTTGCTGTCATAAATGTCCAGAAACGGTGAGGAACAAGAACGTGTCAGCAGTAAATTGTAATCACTCCTGAATACTGTGTAAGCAATGCAGAATCCATACAGTAAAGAGAAGGATGGGAGTACATTAATTCTCCATATTACTCTAAATTTATTTTTAGTAATATACTTTGTACTGCTAAGAGCATAATTATGATTCAAAAAGAATCCCATATCCTGTGGGGTAAAAGTGCTTTTTGAGGTTTTAAAATCCTATTCACAACATTAACTCCTTCAGTTCTTGAAAGCAATGGATGAGCCTTTTAAGTAGAATCATAGAATCATAGAATAGTTGGAAAGGACCTTAAGATCATCAAGTTCCAACGCCCCTGCCATGGGAAGGGACACCTCACACTAAACCATATCACCCAAGGCCTCTTCCAAACTGTTCTTGAACACTGCCAGGGATGGAGCATTCACAACTTTATTCACATTTTAACCACTCATTATTGGTCTCCAATTGGATATTGAGCCATTGACCACAACTCTTTCTGTGTGGCCGTCCAGCCTGTTCTTTATCCACCGAGTGGTCCATCCGTCAAATTGACGTCTCTCCAATTTAGAGACAAGGATGTCATGTGGGACAGTGTCGAACACTTTACACAAGTCCAGGTAGATGACATCAACTGCTCTACCCCTGTCCATCAGTTCTGTAGCCCCATCATACAAGGCCACCAAATTGGTGAGGCAGGATTTCCCCTTAGTGAAGACATGCTGGCTGTCACCAAGCACCTTGTTGATTTTCATGTGCCTTAGCATGCCTTCCAGGAGAATCTGCTCCAAGATTTTGCCAGGCGCAGATGTGAGACTGACTGGTCTGTAATTCCCCGGGTCATCCATTTTCCCCTTCTTGAAAATGGGGGTTATATTTCCCTTTTTTCCAGTCATCGGGAACTTCACCTGGCTGCCATGCACAATACAGCTTAAGAAATGTGATATTCCCCAGGTTAAAAAAGAGGTAAAAGCACCTGAATAAAAACCCCACCAAACAAAGAATTTGGTCCACCTAGCTGTCATGGAGCTTTGCATTATTTCCTTTAAAATACATTTTTGTTTTGCAGTTCATGCTTCGTTTCCTGTGATGTTTCCAATTACAATAGTGAGCGGTATGTATAAAGTGGAGTGTTATGAACTTAATTAATACAGAAAAAGAACTCACATAACATCACATACAAGCAACACAAAAACAAATGTATGAAGGAGAAATAGTTTATATGAATGTAGGAGACACATTTTTTGTAAAAACAACGGGTATCTGTTCATCACTGGAGAGTGTACGGTTTTCTTTCCAGATTTCAATTAAAAAGGCACAACAGCATACTAATTTCTTTTAATAGTATGATAGAAATAGGAAGAGAAACACAGGTGGTGAGTAAATCTTACATCCCCTCAGATATTGGGAGCCCCACTTTCATGCAGCTTAGGACAGATGCCCAGTGGACAGACAAAGTACAGTTCTCACCACAGAGAGGTTCAGTGTCTCCCCCATACCATGCTGCCTTTTATTTAGTCTAACAAATGAAACTGTATTTGTTTTGATACAGGAATGTTGTCTCTCTGTCCACCAGAGCATATCAACCTGCATGAATTCAGGATCCATACCCAGGAGTAGCACCTGTTTGGGACATGCCAGCATGTTCTCTGGCATTGTTATATAGGCAACGCTAACATAGGGGTTATTAGGGCTGATAGAGGTGACATGGCTTGTCCAAGATCACTAATTCATCAAATACAGTATCTTCCACAGTACTCCAAATAAATTATCATACATAGAATCAATCAGTATACCACAGAAATATACAAAATCCTTAAATACTTGTCTGTTTCTTACAAGTGTTTAGAAGCAGTAATTAGCTGCAATAAATATTTGTATAGCTGTATTTTCTTCTTAAGTAT